TAAAAGTTGTTTTTATTAATAAAATAAAAGTTTAATATATGACAACTATTTCCATTTAATTATAATAATTCTTAAGTGGTCCTTCATTTATTGGAAGACTGTATATAAACAATTTCATATATTAGTATAAATGCAATCTTAATACTATAATTCATATCATGTGATGAGTGACTTTATAATTGACCAAGTAATATTGTAATTAAGTTTTCACTTACATATTGTTAGTAGGAAAAATGCTTGAATAAGGCCTGATGATACAATGTTCATGTTACACACCTAATCAAAACATTGGTAATCTTTTAGTAAATAGTCTAATGATGTAATGAAAAGCTTAGATAGTTTATTTTATAGTATGATAGTTTATGAGTCATAGCATTATATCTCTTTAGCATATTAGTTAGAGATAGTGATAGTGATATAAATAAGAGTAAAAAAGTGCAAAAAGAGAGACAACACAACAACTAGACAATTCTAACTTAAACTTTAACCATAAAAAACTTAATTAACATTATTTTTTCTATTGAAAAGAGAGCACAAAATGGTCATGCAAGTATTAATTGAAAATTGCCATGTGGTGATGGTAGATGCACCTAAAAAAGGAAGTTATTAATTAACTTATCTTTATAAAAGTAAGTTGCCATGAGAGGATTATCCTGGAAGTCATTAAAAGCACTGTTCTAGAGAGGATGACCCAAAAGATAAGGTTAATAGTTTGAAAGGTTGACTAAGTCAAATCCATGCCTCAAGTAGAGAAGATAAGAATAACTTACCCAACGTTACGTGAGTTTGACCTGCCACTAGCGACAGACTAGTCAATTTAACGTCAACAATATTTTCATTTGGATTAAGTATACTGTAGGTTTTCATGCATATTTTCGTTATTTGTATGATATATCCGTATCGCAAATAGTGGATTAACTATGTTATCGATTATTATTATCGACTTAATTTACACTCTTCTAAGTAATGTGGTTGCACGTGGACAGACAAGACATGTCAGGTTTAGTGTAGAATGGTAGTCTTACGTTACGCTTCGGACAACAAAAAGTTACGCGTGCGGTTTGATGCAGATAAAAATTTATGCATTAAAAAAATTACGCGTGCGGACAGACAAGACGTGTCAAGTTTAGTGTAGAATAGTAGCCCTACGCTACGCTTCGGACAACTATGATTGACTTTTCTAATTATTAATAATAAAATCTTAAATATAACTTAATTAACTATTAACTCAAAATATCTGTATTATTACAGTAATCCTCAATAAGTTTTAAAATTGACACAGAATGTTTTTTGTACGTTCCTAACTATTGACTCCACCACTTCTCTTAAATTATTTCCTGAATCCAAGTTAACTTGAAAATATGTCAGCTTTATGAATAACATAGGCAATTCAGTGTTTCCACCGACAGAATTTCCTCTTCGCTAGATAAATAATTTTGACAGTCTACAAGTTGATTGTTACCTAAACAAAATTGATCTGCACTCAATTTGATGAAATGAGTAATCTTACTATCAAACGACCCATTGGATTTTGTTAATCAACTTGACTATGTTAGCCTAAAATATTGACAGATGAATTGGACGAATGTTTATGCCACGTGAATTAATTTTAAAAGATACATTGTGTCGTGGGCTATCCGGAAAGCCCACACTGCTTCTTGTTACGTTCGGTTCACAATAAGGTAAGCTTCCCTAACTCTTGAGGCGCGTTTTGATTACTCTAGAAATTTCCGTCACTAAACTTTCCCACACTAATTAAGTGACGCGACGGCGTGTCACGTTACTGCGCCTACTTTTTACCACGACAATAGAAAAGAAAAAAAACAGTACTGTATTAAGTTAATTAACATGATTAGCATTTACAGTACAGTATTACGTTCGGATACTGTATCCGGATGAATATATCTACCAATTCCGTCTGTTCTACTTTCTACAGTATTTGTTCTGATTATTGCGCTAAACTTTTTGCACGTATCTACGTTATTCTCGTAACGATAACATACTACGGTATTTTCGAAAGAAGACGGGATTTTTTGGGTGACCTTAAATTTGCATTATTAAAGACCGGAAAAAATATTCTGCCATCAAAGATAATTGACGATTCAATTATTTCTAAAAAAAAATGAGATTATTAACAAACAAAACTTGTCTTTTAAATTTATTATCGACCATGCATATATCTTTGATTTTCAAAGTTTAATAGCAACAATTTCTTACCGTAACTTGTGCACGTAAAACTCAATTATTAAGGTTTCCACAATAAAAATAATTACATTTAATTTCTTGGATATTTTTATTAACTTTATTAAAATATTAGCTATGACACTGTAATATATGATGGGATGCCCAATTGTAATAAAAACATGCGATTAGTTAAGTTCTTGTGAAATAGAAAATTATAAACTCTAAAATTGAAATACTAAAAATTTTATATAATAATTGTAACAAATAATGGTGTCAATATCATGATATTATGGTAAATGTATATTTTTGTATGTAAAGCAACAGGATTTACCATACGCAACTGTTATATAAATGCCGATATAGCATCACGTATCATTTAATGCTCCTTTTTGTAGTGGTTTTCTTTGGAGTGATAATGATTGTTTTTGTGACGATATTTGTTTTTTGTCTTACAATCATCGTTGTCTTTGGTGTGAGGATTGTTTTTTATTTTTCTGTGGTGATGCTTTCTGTCTTTGATCTGATGATGTTTTTTGTCTTCAATGTGATGTTTTTTGCCTTTGACTTTATGATGTTTGTTAACTTTGGCGTGGCGATGATGACGGTGCTTGGGGCGGTAATGATTTTTTGTACCTTTGTCCGACTTGGTAACACTAGTCGGTTTGTTATGACTAACAGGATCGGATGCACGCGTTGAGTTAATGGTCGTAATTGGCTCGACTGAATTTGAGACAGGGCACGGTGTTGAGGCGGTATAAGGGAGTGATGTAATAGTCGAGACAGTTGAAACTGATGCAAAAGTAGCACCAGCACATTTTGATGATGCGGTAGTGGGTCGGTCAAAGCTAGACATTGATAGAATGGCTGTAAAAACTGATGGAGTGGTAACTGAGGCGAGTTTAGACGTCGAGGCAGCAGGAGGCGGTGGTGTGGTGGTTGGGCCCTTACATCTTGATTTGGTAATAGTTGAGCCAGCAGAAGAGGTTGTCGTAAACGCTAATAAAGTAGTGGTGGTTAAGGAGGAGCTAGGCGTTGAGGTTGTAGGGGGTATAGTAATTATAGTGAATTTTGATAGGTTGGTAGTTGATATAATAGGTGAGCCAGCACACATTGATGTAGTAGATGTAGTTGAGACAATAGAAGAGGTTGTAGTGGCTGTAGTAGATATTAATAAATCGGTTGACGCTGAGCTAGACGTCGAGGCAGTAAACGTTGATGGAGTGGTGGCATATTGACCAGAGGTAGACACCGATATGATGGTAGTGGAGCCGGAAGAAGAGGGTGTAGCTGCAGTAGACGTTGGTAGAGTTGTGGGAGTTTGATTAGAGCTAGACACTGATATGACAGCAGTTGAGCATGCAGAAGGTGCAGAAGCTGTAGGCATTGATTGAGTGGTGGTAGTTTGACCAGAACTAAACAATGATGTGATGATAGTTGAGCTGGCAAAAGAGGGAACAGAAGCAGTAGACGTTGATGGAGTGGCGGTAGTTTTGCAAGAGCTAGACACTGAAGTAATGTCATTTGAGCCGGTAGAGACTATAGCAGAAGTTAATGAAGTGGTGGTAGTTTGGCCAGGGCTAAGCACTGATGTGGTAGCAGTTGAGCCAGTAGAAGAGGGTGCAAAAGAAGTAGATGTTGATGGAGTGACGGTAATATGGCCAGTGCTGATGACAACTGAACCGGTAGAAGAGGGTGTTGTTTCAGCAGATGTTAATGAAGTGGAGCTTGATTGGATGGTATTTGAGTCAGTAGAAGAGAGTGTAGGAACGGCCGTGGACAAAATGGTGGTAGTTTTATCAGAGCTAGACGCTGATGTGATGGTAGTAATGTCGGTAGGTGTAGTTGAAGTAGATGTTGATGAAGTTGTGGGAGTTTGGCCAGAGCTAGACACTGATATGACAGCAGTTGAGCTTGCAGAAGAGGATGCAGAAGCAGTAGACGTCAATGGAGTGGTAGTAGTTTTGCAAGAGCTAGACACTGAAGTAATGTCATTTGAGCCGGTAGAGACTATAGCAGAAGTCAATGAAGTGGTGGTAGTTTGGCCAGAATTAAACACTGATGAGATAGCAGTTGAGCCGGTAGAAGAGGGTGTAGGAACGGCCGTGGACAAAATGGTGGTAGTTTTATCAGAGCTAGACGCTGATGTGATGGTATTAATGCCGGTAGAAGATGTAGTTGAAATAGACGTTGGTAGAGTTGTGGGAGTTTGGTCAGAGCTAGACACAGATATGACAGCAGTTGAGCTTGCAGAAGAGGATGCAGAAGCAGTAGACGTCGATGGAGTAGTGGTAGTTTTGCAAGAGCTAGACACTGAAGTAATGTCATTTGAGCCGGTAGAGACTATAGCAGAAGTTGATAAAGTAGTGGTAGTTTGGCCAGGGCTAAGCACTGATGTGGTAGCAGTTAAGCTGGTAGAAGAGGGTGCAAAAGCAGTAGTTGTTGATGGAGTGACGGTAATATGGCTAGTGCTGATGACAACTGAACCGGTAGAAGAGGGTGTTGTTTCAGCTGATGTTAATGAAGTGGAACTTGATTGGATGGTATTTGAGTCAGTAGAAGAGAGTGTAGGAACGGCCGTAGACAAAATAGTGGTGGTTTTATCAGAGCTAGACGCTGATGTGATGGTAGTAATGCCGGTGGGTGTAGTTGAAGTAGACGTTGGTGAAGTTGTGGGAGTTTGGCCAGAGCAAGACACTGATATGACTGCAGATGAGCTTGCAGAAGAGGATGCAGAAGCAGTAGACGTCGATGGAGTGGTAGTAGTTTTGCAAGAGCTAGACACTGAAGTAATGTCATTTGAGCCGGTAGAGACTATAGCAGAAGTGAATGAAGTGGTGGTACTTTGGCCAGAATTAAACACTGATGTGGTAGCAGTTGAGCCAGTAGAAGAGGGTGCAAAAGAAGTAGATGTTGATGGAGTGACGGTAATATGGC